ATGGTCATTCCTGTCTACCACACCAAGGCTCGACTACCATCATTCACTTCTACTTGGGCGTCCCTTAAGTTAGCCAGCTCCTGCCAAGCTGTCTGCAACTTGGTAGAGGAACACGGGGCCTGGTGCCAGCCTTTCTCCACGAATTGCACCGCTTGCCCAAAAGCAAAGTGAGTCAGCTGAAGGCTTTTTCTCCCAAAGGGTCCAATCCAGCAGGCAGCCTCCACTTCCATTAGTCAGTCAGAGTCGAGCTCTCACCTCTCAGCACCTCATAGGATAAGGTCCAAAGTCTTCAGTGACCCTTTCTTCCTATGTCCACCCAAGGCAAATGAAATCAGCAGAGCTGACCTTGCTGTACATCCCACTGTTCTGGCCAGGGCAGGGTCTTCTTGACTCAAGTGTCTTTCCAGTGGAATTCCCCATCCCCAACTAAGTCTAACCAAGTGGACACCGAGTACCGCACGAGCCCCTATTGCTTGGTCAATTCATTGCCCTGTTTTCCCACCCTGCTTTCACACAGCTCTTCCTTCGGGCATTATTTAAAACTCTACTTGGCTTCGCCTGAGCACAGTACTATTGGGAACGAGCGCTGGGGCTGGGTTCCCCGGGATCAAGGTTTTCCAGCAGATTAAGTCCCACACGCCTGCTACAGGCACTTTCCAAAGCAAGCAAATGCCATTTCCCAGGCAGCCCCGTCGCTGGGTGAAGACTCAGGAAAGGTTCTGGAGCCGTTAGAACCGCACACAAATCTCCCTGGAATCAGCAGTGGTGGAGCTGGTCGTACATGATAAGATGACAATGCCCTGCTGTCTGACCTTTGGCAAATCCCGACCCCTCTGATCCCTCATCTGTCTTGTCTACTTGGGCTGTAAACTCTTTGGGGCAGAGACGGTCTCAGACTATGTATTTTTACAGTGCTTAGCGCAAACAGGTCCTGATCTCCACCAGGGCCTCTGTAAGGCAGAATAATAATAATGAATGTGTTTGTTTGCAATCTGCTAGTAGCACTTTGTCAAAGGCCCGTTCTCCATCTGAAGCCTGCTCCTCCAGAAGCCATACACCCTACAGAGCTGGATTTCTTTTAAAAGCCACGCCCACCTTTTATGTTTTGTAGTATATACCTGTGAGCGTCTTGTGAACTGACGCCCTATGCACAGCACTGTATCAGCTGGCAACATTTGAAATTCATCCTTCTACAAACAGTCGGTATCGGGTTTCTATTGTCGGGGATACGGTTTATACAAAGACTGACCCTGTTTTCACAGTAGTACCTTTTGTATATTTCAAAGCCATCACACACAATGGTACTCCTTTAAACTCTCTGCATACTCTGGCTATCCTTCGGAGCCAGCTACCATAGCTGGTTAGTTACACAAGCCTTTGTCCACAAAATATTTACTCTGCAGAACAACTATTTATCCGGGGGCTTACATTTTTCACTGATGAAACATAATCTCATTTGATCTTGGACAAACAGTGTGTTGCCTAAACCAAGAAATATCTTAATTAATTAATACAGAAACAAACAATCTGTTACTATTTACAAAGAAAATGTTTAAAAGATAGTGGAGCAGGTCTCCACTTGTTAAATCAACATCACTCCAAACACACGTCTTTTGGTGATGACTCTGCAGCTTGTTGGGTTCTTGATTATTATGGGTGTGGGGAAGACGCATTTATCATCCAGGCTTCTGACAAGTAGCTTCAGTAACTATTATGTTCGTTTGCAAATCTTTAATGTTCACATAAAGTTTAATGCAGTTTGTTAGGAAGAATTATGCATCTAAACAGATAGAACTGCAGTTTCCCAGTTTGTTCCTGGCAGGGCAACACACCTATATTCCCCTTCGAGCCTGACCCTGCACCAACGGTGCTTTGTTCCTAAAATGGTTCTGGAGTCACTACCATGACTATAAACAGGGATCCGATCCTGCTTCAGCTGAAACAAATGGGTCTTCTACCACCGACTGGGATGGAAACAGGAGTAAGACTCGGCAGTCTTCCTACAGCCTCTCTCGCATCAGGACCCCACAGTTTTATATAAACACGTGTAATAAAATACCAAACGGGACCATGGTTTATAGCAAGAGCAGCTTTGGGGACATTTTCAGAACTATTGTGACACACTGAAATCTCCTACTTACAGCAACAGAAACGTTACTTGGTTCCCAACAAGCAAATTAAGATAATGGAAAAGAACATTGATAGCGGATAATGGTCTGCCACTGCTCCATAAATGCCAAGCAGAAAGTGGAGTCTGGGCAAAATGCCAGGTAGAAACCAGAGATGGGGGGAAATGCTAATACTGGGAAAGAAATCTCTAAACATTGAGCTTTAAATAAAGTTCATTTTTAAAAAGACCCTTCACTGAATATTTCCATGTTTTCTGTCAGGCTTTTGGGGCTAAAGCATCCTAAATTCTTGACTTACGGCTTATATAAATGACAATGTTCCACAATGTCTATTTTCAGCCTTAGATGTCTGAATAGGCATAGGCGGCGAGTTATATGGGCCCATGGTGCCCCTGCTCCACCAGTATTTAAGGACGTGGGCCCGGCTTCACCAGTGTTTGGGCTTTGAGGGGCCCAGGGGGACATGGGGTCCAGGGCAGCCTTGGGGGATGGGGCTAGCAGGGGGCCTGGTGCCAGCAGCAGCGAGCAACCTGGCCCCAGCCTGCCCCGCTCCGCCGGCTCCCAGCGTCGCTTCGAGGAGGGGGTGGAAGCCGGAAAGAAGCAGGGTGGGGGCAGGGGCTTGGGGGAAGGGTTGGGGGCAGAGCAGGGGCGGGCTGGGTTGTTGGGTGCTGCCGGCGCCAAGCCCCCCACTAAGCCCCCAGGCCGCCCTGGACCCCATGTCCCCCTGAAGCGTGAGGCCGCCCCAAAGCACAGGGCCCTGGGTGGTTACCCCAGTCCATCCTATGGATGGGACAGCTCTGCTTGGACCCATTCTGGGCAGCACCAAAAATTATATAAACCTGGCGCCATGTGAATAGGAATGGGTTTGGTTGTCTGGGAGTTTCCCTAGGGTTTGTTTTTTTTTGTTAATATGGGTCATATTTAAGCGCACTACAAGCACCGTTTCTGATGGTTTCTTACACTGTTTTAAAGTATTTATTGTATTTTATTGTGAAACATACAGAGATAAATAAACCTTATTAATTTACAAACATGAATTTAACATGTGCGCACGGGCAGCCTGGAGCAGGATCGACAGAGCAGCGAGTTTCTCCCCAAGAGACCTGAGGAGCAGAAGCTTCAAGGCCTCTTCTCACCCCCTAGTTAGCTAGTGAACAGGAGTCACTAGGTGTCTCCAAACTAAGGGCCCCACACCCCAAGCCCTTACGCAAACAAGCAATTTCAAACACGAGCTGAATGTTACTCATGGGGCAGGTCTGCAGGATCAAGGCCCAAGACAACGGTACTTCCACACCTGAAGTGGTGGTGGTCTGCACATGCTCCACAACCCAGCTTTGCCACCTACCACGATCATTGCTACTCTAGGAAGAGACAACCTAACTGGGGAAAAGAAGGTCTGCTTCTTGGGCTGCTGCTGGCCAATCTATGCAACTCTGGTGGGCTGGTAGGGAGGTATCTTATATACACACACGCTCAGGGCCAAAAGTCTGGCTTCCCTACCAACGAGGCCACTCGCAGAATAAGGTCCTACTCCCCACAAGTAAGCACAGCAGCATCTGGCCTCATAGCTAGATTTGAGAAAACGGTGATGTTCGTACAATGCCAGTGCACGGACATCACTAATCTATTCCTCTTTGGGCCACACTAGTTGTTAGCACAAGTTCAATTTACATGTTAAGTGAGGCACACGTATTCGTGTTGGATTGAGACTACACATTCTCCCCATCACACGTGAATTTCAAGTTCCTCCAAGTGCTCCAAGTCTTAACTCTCAGACTTCCCTTAACATCAGCAAGACCATGCGTTTCCCTACTACACACAGTCGCTAGTAAGGATGACCCAGCAGCATGGTACCACTATCGCTGCATCAACCAAATGGCTGCTTAGCAAATCTTACTACCAAAGGTACTCTCGGAAATCGACCACACAACCTCCATGTAACTAGCTCAGCTCTGTCAGCGGGGGCTTTGTTGGCTACCCCAGTTGATTTACCCACTTTAAAGACTGCTTAGGAAAAATGAACGTTTGGACCATTAAGCCATTTTATATTCAAGAGCCATGCAACCATCATCTAAAGCCACAAGAATTATATAACAATCAACAGAGGGTCCTGTGGCACCTTTAAGACTAACAGAAGTATTGGGAGCATAAGCTTTCGTGGGTAAGAACCTCACTTCTTCAGATGCAAGGTGCCACAGGACCCTCTGTTGCTTTTTACAGATTCAGACTAACACAGCTACCCCTCTGATACTTAAGCATTATATACATTTCCTCCCTCTAATAAAAACTACTGATAAAGGAAAAGATTGTTGTTGCACTTTTCTCCCCAGAATTAAAATCAGCTCTGTTGGGATATTTATGCAGAACAGTTACACCCCAAAACATGGTTGATGATAGAGATACCAGACAGCTCAGGATAGCTGTGATTACAGGTGCTGTCACCACTCTACACAACAGCTAGGATGATAAAGAACTGTTGCTGCTCAGGCCACAAGTAGTTTGTAAGCAGGGAAGATTTATCCCATCACTGGAAAGCCACAGGGAGAATCGGTTCGTGTCCCGGTCCTTCTGTGCGCAGAAGTGGGAATAGCTGCTAGATTTTGAAAATCACGAAGAGTGTCATTTTCAAAGAGCAGAGGGGAGATAGCGCCTCAAATCCCGCTGAAAGCCAATGGGATTCCTTGGGCTGCTTTGGGAAATACCAGGCTAAATACAGAGACAACTGATATTGGTATCTGGGTTAGCGAGGTTTGGGGAAATTACCGCCCCAAGATGTTATTTGAATCGGAATAAGCAAAACCTTTGAGAGTTTAAACCCAACCCAGTCACAACGGGGCAGCGTCAAGTCCTACAGGGCGAACAGCCCGTTACCTTTAACATCCGGATCTCTCGCAGGGCGATTTTCTTTATAACCGGATCATCTTCCGATTCTAGGAACTTCTTAATAGCCACGATCTGGCCGGTGTCTCGGTTCCGGCATTTGAACACCACCCCGTAGGAGCCTTCTCCGATCTTGCCAATTTTTTCATACTTCTCCATGGCCCGGGGAGCAGGTTCTCCGGGGCCGGCTCCGAGCTCGGGCGAGGCGGGGACCTTTCAAGGCACCTGAGCCGAGTGCGCCGGGGCTGGAGAGCGGCACTAGCGCCGGCGGCCCCGCATCCCCCGGGACCCAAAGCCGGAGCCACACGGCGGGGCGGGGAAGCGGCCAATCGCCCGCGTCTCGGCTCGGAGCAGAGCTCGCAGCTCGCCCCCGGTTCGCGTCCTGCCCTGGCTCGCCGGGCGCCCTCGGGAATTAAAATTTAATTCCCCGCCTGCCGGCGGCGCGGGTTGCCAGGGGACCTGCCTCTGTCTCTGCCGGGGGAGGCGCGGCCGCGCTGGGAGGAGCCGACACTGGATGGGCCGGGCCCGGGGCGCCGGGACGGATCCGTCTCCAGCCCCGGCGGGGCCAAGCGGGGCGGCAGCACGTGGGTGGCCCCTCCCGGTCCTGCCTCTGCCCCGCGGGGAGAACCGGGCCCCAGGGGCGCTGGGCAGAGGCTGGGTCCCCCCCGGGGCAGGAGCGTTTCGCTGCCCGTACGTGGCAAGGGGGGAAGGGGCTCAGGGCGGGGTCCAGGATCAGGACCCCCCCGCGCGCCTTTTTTTTTTTGAAGACGGCTAAACTCTTGGATTCCGTGACATCTTGTCGCAGGGAGTTCCGCAGGCGAATGGTGCGGGGGTGGGGAATACCGTATTTCCTTTATCGTTTTAAACCTCGCCACCTTTTATTGTCATGAAAACGCCACTTGTTCTGGTGTTGCAGAGAGAACAGGGGGCCTTGGCCTGCCGGATCCCTGCCCTGCACACGCTCGCCCTGGGGTGCTAATGCCAACAGCCCCCAGCCCTGCCCTAGCCCTTCCAGAGTCATTGCTCTGCAAAGCCAAGATCCAGCCCCCAGCACCATCCGCAGCTGTGACAGTGCCCCCCACTCGATCAGCTCCGGCCCATGGAAATAGCTCGCCCCACACACTAGCCCAGGGATGGGCAAACTTTTCGGCCTGAGGGCTGCATCAGGTTCCTGAAATTGTATGGAGGGCCGGTTAGGGGAGGCTGTCTCCCCCCAAACAGCCAGGTGTAGCCCACCCCGCTCCCTATCCGACCCCCTGGAACCACTAACCCATCCAACCACCCCCACTCCCTGACCGCCCCTTACCACCCCATCCAACCTCTCCTCTCCTTCCTGACTGTCCCCCCAGGACACTTGCCCCCATTCAACACCCCTGTTCCCCACCCTCTGACCACCCCAACCCCTATCCACACCCCTGCCCCCTGAGGACCCCCAGAACTCCCCTGCCCTCTATCCAACTCCCCTGTTCCCTGCCCTCTTACTGTGCTGCCTGGAGGCGCTAGAGCCACATCGCCCAGAGCACTAGGACAGGCAGCCGCGTCGCCTGTCTGGAGCCAGCCACACCGTCGCCCCCGCGCAGCGCAGAGCACCAGCCCAGGCAGCCATGCCACCGCGCAGCACAGAGCACCGGGTCAGGCAGCCACGCCACCGCGCAGCGCAGAGCACCAGCCCAGGCAGCCACGCCACCGCGCAGCGCAAAGCACCGGGTCAGGCAGCCACGCCACCGCGCAGCGCAGAGCACCGGGTCAGGCAGCCACGCCACTGCGCAGCGCAGAGCACCAGCCCAGGCAGCCATGCCCCCGCGCAGCAGAGCACCGGGTCAGGCAGCCATGCCCCCGCGCAGCAGAGCACCGGGTCAGGCAGCCATGCCCCCGCGCAGCAGAGCACCGGGTCAGGCAGCCATGCCACCGCGCAGCAGAGCACTGGGTCAGGCCACGGCGCTCGCAGCCCAGAGGATTGCGCTGGCGACGCAGTGAGCTGAGGCTGCACGGGAGGGGGAACAGCAAGGCAGGGGGCGAGCCTCCTGGGCCAGGAGCGTCCCATGGGCCAGATGTAGCCCGCAGGTCGTAGTTTGCCCACCTCTGCACTAGCCCTTTAGGGGATGTCTACACAGCGTTTTGGAGCCAGGCCCCCACCCCAGTTGACAGACGGGTTAATGCTCTGAAATAGCAGTGTAGACAGGGCTTTGAAGGTGCAGCTGGGACTCTACAGCATAGGGAGGGGGAGGGGGGCTTCAACTTCAAAGTGCTGCCCACACAGCTCTTTCTAGAGGCCCCAGGCTGGCTCTGAAAGGCTGGGGAGAGGTACCCTTAGAGACTCATGTTCAAAAAGCAGCCCGCAGGCCCTTAAACGCAGCAGCTCCTGCAGGCCGAGCTGTGGGGTGGTGGGAGCAGTATATTAGCCTGACAAGTGGCTCCAGGTGCACGAAAAGGAACAGCAGAGGGTGTTCCTGCTCTCCTTGCACCTGCATCAGCCTACATCTCCCTGGGAGAATCCTTTGCTGAGAGGCCTCCACGCCCGCGTCTTCAGCCAAGAAAGTGAGCCCTACTCGTGCCTTCCCTAAAGTCAGGTATCAATTTACCTCCCCCTGTTCCAAACCAACCTAGAACAGGGCTTCTAGATAGCAACTAAAGTGCATGCGGCAGGGAGGCTGAAAGCAAAGAGAATATAAATGGAGTGGTGGTGTAGCCCTGTTGGTCGCAGGACGTTAGAGACACAAGGTGGGTGAGAGAGAAGCTTTCCCACGTACACAGAGCTCTTCTTCAGGGCTCAAGAACAGAGCTGCATCAGCTGGAAAGCGTGTTGGTCTCTCCCCAGCAGAAGCTGGTCCAACAAAGAGATTACCTCGCCCACTGTTCCCTAACAAACACACACGCAGGAAAGTCTAGCTAAACAGTCTACAAGTCCAGCCTCAGCTCCAACCTGGCGGAAATGCAAGCGTTTAAAAACCAGCGGCCACGTCAGAAAGTTTCCTCTCAGCAGCAAGCCGCCATCCTCCGAGGGCGCACCTCTCTGCTGGGAATCACTTTGGGGCTTCATTGATGTGTTGCACCTTTCCTCCTCAGCTAACGCAGATGTCACGACCACTACGGCTGTTTCTCAGTTTACAATACATTTGATCACATTAATTAACCCCTTTTGCTTTCCTAATCTGCTGTTTGCCTTTCAAAGAACTCGAGGAGCCTGTTTTAGTCTTAAAGTTGAATACAAAACTTGTTCACAGAATAATTAATACTTTGCCACCTTTCAAAGGTCCTGAGGGTGTGAGCTAACCTGGTATTTAGTGATGATAATTGCACCCTGGGGTATTTTATCCTGGTTGAAATGTTACAGAACATACAAGGTATAAACAATATTAGACAGACTTCAAATGTCGATAGTAGCTACAAGTCATGTGGGAAAAGACCGTTTATGTCAAAGTGATGTTTGCTGTACGGCATTTTTATAGATGTGTCCTACTTCTAATACAGTTAGAATAAGACTACACTAAAGCCACTGCACCTATGCCACTACAAAAGAATTCTTCTGACAACCTAGCCATGCTGACAGTAGGGGTTAGGTTCACCCAACTACAGCACTCAGGATATGAAATTTTGCCCAGTTCTGAGTGATGTAGCTTGGTAGATCTCATTTCTAGGTGTAGACCAAGCCTTAGTAATAAATCACCTTTACATATGGCAAAAGTCATTTCTATACTAGAAAATATAGCTAACTACCATTGCAAGTTTGTGACTTATTTTACCGTAACAAGCCAAGTGATAATACAAGGACATTCTGATACCACCATCTGTTAAAACTTTTCATTTGAAAAGTCAGCTCGAAAGTATCTTAAATGAATCCCTCTCTCGCTCAAATATGTACACAGCTGAAAAAATATTTGCAGAAACAAAATATTTTTATCTAGTTTGCTTTGCCGTTTGGGATTCTGTTAAAAATCTCAATCGCCACGGAGTTTTTGTACATTCAGTTATTGGATGACTGGAGACCCTCCCACTCCTAGAGAAGACTACTTTAGAACAGTGTTTCTCAACGACCAGTCCCTGGACTGGCACCAGTCCCTGCGATTTCCCGGACACAGTTTAGGAAGAAATCAACTGGGCCCTAGTATCCAAAACACTGCTTTAGAAAACAAAATAATATAATGACACAAACTCCTTCCCAATTCTTCAGAAATACAAAACTTGTGTGCTACTCTTGTAAGATTTCTGATACAATTTATAATTCTCCTATCGTCAGTGTACTGTTTGGGAATATCTGTAAGGTCTTTATAAACTTCAATACAATTTCTGAACTAAAAACTTTTTTTTGTATTGATTTAACTGTCAAATCAATACTACAAAACTAGGTTTGAATGACAACTTAAGTGGACAAAGCCTTTAAATTTATGCAGTTCAATCTTCCCGCCAAGAGATCAGAACAATATGAACTCTAGATGCACCAAACAAGACACGACCCTCCTGATTCCTCACATGCACCAACTACCCATTGTTAATTTCAGCAATATTCATTATGAATCAAGCCGTTTGATTTCCAAAAGGACAATGAGGCTTTTCATTCTCTCAGCGGATCAGAGGACATCAAATCACTCATGTTTGCCTTAGAATCTGTCACCACAGCTTAGCGACAAAGCCTTTTGGTATTGTTACATTTACACGGTTGTGTTATTGAAATGAATTGTGAAGGTTCTAACGTATTTCCCCCCTATTAATTTAGCAGGTATTGAGATTGAATGGGACACCCCAGTATACAGTAGAATTAAGTGTTAAAATAAACCCTAACTTTAAATAACTGCTACTGTGTCGGCCTCTGCTTACATCGCGGCTAGAGTGTTATTCTGGGGTAGTAACACCCCTTATACAGGATCTGAACAGCAGTCTATCTGGTAGTGTTTAATTGTCCAGGGTATCATCAGAATGTTAATTAATGAGCACAGACAATAGGAAGCAATGTGACTCTTTAATGGAGGAATAAGGTGATAAAGTATGGATGACAAACTAAAAAGGGGGGAAGGGGTAAAAGGAGACGTGACCCAAAGCTTTATTATAGAATACTGCTTCTTATCATAGATATTTATACTATACAGCTGGGAAACAACCATCACTAAATGACAGTCTGACAAACAACAAGGTGAGCAACTATACATACAAAAAGCTTATAAGCATAGTTGCCCTACAAGCTCCCCTCTGGAATAGTATAAATAAAATACATGTTGTGGGCAGTTGGATACATTATTTTCATTCCTTAAGGATGACCAGGCACAATCCACTTACCCTTCCGTTTAATTTCACACAGGTTATCCCTAATTTATGAAAATAAAGCATGTATATTTTACATATACACTGCCTGTCAATCACACACACACACACATATACTGTACACACCCACCCGCTAAGAACGTTTCAGGTGTCAATATTACATTTTGTATATACTCTACACCTATTATTTCAGTAAATATGAAACTCCCTTTTATGGCAACTCTGTAGGCAAAATGAATACAAAATACTTTGTTGTACAAAATTGCATTTATACAGGAACCACCAACATTGTACTATAACCCCCTTCAACAATGCACTACATCTCTACAAGGACCAAGAATCATCAAATCTTTATACAATTGTAAAAAATGCTAAG